CCCCCCAACCTATTCGGAGATGGGTGCGTGGTGCTTCAGTGGAAAAAAACAGGTTAAGCCAAAACAAATCAGAACTGAGTGTTCAGGCTATAACTAAGTCTGAACTGCAGTGCTATATTTAAACATGGTATTTTTGTATTTTAATAATTAACCACTGGGAAAGAGCAGCCTAAAAACTGTAGCGTGGGCTATTTTCAAGGTATATTCTCTTCCAGCCCCATCTGGGTGCCGTAGAGTGCAGCTGAGGACTGGCTGCGGAGGACAGGGATGCTCTAAAGTGTTCATTCCCCCTTTAGGTTTGTGTCCTTCCCCTGGATTCTTCTCTTTGCAACCTCTTAACAGTTAAATCAAGGTAATCAGCAGTAAACGAGTGTTGGGGTTGGTGTGTGGCTTGGGAGAGCACTTCCCTTCCGTGGAGAGCCGAGGGCGTGAAGCAGCATTTCCCTTGGCATTAACTGTAATGCAGTTTTGACTGCGCCTGACCATGACCACCTCCAGATCAAACTGGTGTTTAGTGAAGGGCAGGCTGTGAAAGGTAATCCTGTGCCGTGCAATTATTTCATTGCCGTTGAGTTTTAGATAGCACAAGGCCATTCTCTGCTTTTGAGGAAAAGTTTGTGGGTGTTTTAGTGCTGAAGGAGCACCTGCAAGTCCTCACCGCCGCGCTTGGACTGCAGAGCTGTCAGTGCTGGGGTCTGAACCTGGAAAGCATCGAGTCCCTTTCGTATTCGGGGAGGGCAGCGTGATGGAAACGAGTGAACTGTTTGAATCCAGCTATGGAAAAGGGATGCAGGGAAGGAAGCAAATTTTTCACGGTGTCAGACCATGGTGACCTGCCCTGGGCAGGGGAACTCCTCTGGTCCACTGAGAGCAGAGGGGCTGTGGCCTGGATTCATGTTGTCCTCTTGCAGCTTTTGGGCAGCCATTACCTCCATGCATGGGGGAGAAGTTGTTTTTGGAAAACTCATCTCTGCATTTAAAGGAAGTGAAAAGATGGAGAGGGTCCTTTTATCCGGCACCGTCCTCTCCAGGGCCGTAGTACTGCAGTAGGAATTGTTTCTTCCCAGCAATAGATACAGCAGAGGAGCCGACCTTTCTTAAAATTGGGATAAAACTTTCTCTTGCCCATCCTTCATCATGAAAGAGCAAAACCGCAAGTGGGTAAGGGTAGAAGAGGGCGTCCAAGCATGGAGCGCAGTGGGAGAGGGTGAAACACTGGCTCTGCTGATGCAAAAATGCTGGGAAATAAATGGGATTTTTTTGTAACGAGCATCTGATGGGAAGGAGCTTACCTGGCTCTTGCCAAATAACGTTCAGAGTGGTAGCTCTGACCAAAGAGGGGCTGTGAGTGTGGGGTTTGAATCTGCCACGGAAACATGCTCTTGTGCTCTTTGCCTTTCCCAGCAGCGCCGGCAGCAGTCCCCGCGCGTCCGCAGAGCTGGGTCCCGGCACAGCGTAAGAGATCTGCAAAGCGCTTTGCCTCTGTTGCTGGGAGACAGTCGCAGGGAGCTAGGGCTGCTTGAACAAACACGCTTTTCTCCTCGCCTCCTCTCTGCCCTCCCTCCCCACCCTTTTTCTTTTTTTTTTTTAAGTTTTCTTTTCCCCGCTTGGTGACTGTTAATAGGAAAAGCTTGTCTGGAACCAAGTGATTCTTGCTCCAAATGATCCCGTGAGACTAAAGAACCTCACAGGCTTCCAGACCCACTGAAGTGAACGTCTTTTAGATAAAGATCCTGGACAGCAGGCACAGGATTTACTCCAGCTTAGAAATACACCTTGTAATGAAGCTAATTGACGTAAGTCTTCAGAGCTTAATGCTCTTAAACTTCTGGAGCTTGAACTGAATTGACCTCCAGACCCAAATTCTGCAGCGAGCCCTCGGGGCTGTGGCAGCATCCCAGAAATCCTGCTGCAGCTCAGGGTTGGTGCCCACCCACGGAGGTGAAGAAAACAGTGGGTACGAAGGTTCTTGGTCTTATTTGGAGTTGAGGCCTGTTTTGCATCATCCCTTGTGCTTCCCTCCAGTCTCACATGGTCTTGAGGTACTGACGATACATCAGGGCACCACGGAATTTCAGGGCTTTGCTGGGGAGCGTTTGCTGCTTCAGAGGGGCAAAAGCAGGTGGAGCGGGTGGTTCTCACCGCAGTGGTGACCGGCAGAAATGTGCATCGAGCCTCTAGGCTCCAGGCAGTAACCTCTGCTGAGAAATACCAGGCAGTTGGCACTTTTCAGTTATTTTGCATTGTCTGTGGGCTTGAGGAGCTGCTGCTGTATCGCTCATGCACTCTTCAAGCTCCATCACAACTTATCAGAAATGGAAAAGTTCTCTAAAACCAAGCTTGTGGAGAGGAGCAGGGCTGATGAAGCGAAGGCGACTGCCACAAACGCCTCCAACGGAGGGGAACAATTAACAGGCATCATTGGGGGAGAAGAAAAACTCGGCATCATGAGGCAGACTTTAAATTCGTTTTTTTCTTTGTAACTGGTTCCAGTTTAGCTGATCCCACAGTTCTGTTGCTGATACTGCAGAGCTGCTCATTTACTCAAGAGCCTTAGGTTAGCTGAGGAAAAAAACACCCCAACTTTCTCCTGCCCATCTCAAAGCTGTATTTCTGGGGCTGCCTTATTCAGCCCCGGTGAGTCTAAATAGCAGGATCAGGTGACGCGGTGACTGGCGCTGTAATTTGTATCTGAGGCAAGGGCTAGTGATGTGAGCAGTTCCAAAACGAGCCGCCCTGTCTGTGTTTGGTTTTTGTCATGTAAGGCCTGCCTCCGTCCACTTGAAACAGGGATATTTTTGCCTTTTACGTGGCCTCATCCTTTTTTAGTGCATCCTTTTAAGCTTGAGCTTGAAATACAAAATCCCATTTCTGGTACAGCTAGCTTGCAGTTTTTGATTAAAGCTCTGACTGACTTGTCTTGTGTGAGTAAAAGCTTTCGTGTCCCAGGCTATCATCAATTCTCCTTTGTAGTTTTTACCCTCCTCTGAAATAAGGGATCTGATCGCTCATCCTGCCACCCTGTTCGTGACTGTTAACCCCAGTGTCAGTGCTGGATGGCGCCTGGATTTGTCCGAGACCAGCACGGCTCTGGTGGCCCCGTGGAGAGCCCGGCGTTGGGGTCAGAGATCTCCCAGCCGTTCTGGCCAAGGTCAGGGTCGGGTCCTGGCTGGAGCCGGGGCAGAGGAGCAATGAACGCTTTTGCCTGGCGTACTGCAGGGAGCGTGCCGACAGCAGGACCCGTGCGTCCACGACTTCAGAACCCTTCCTTTGACTGAAATCTCTTTTTAGAACATACTTCACTCTGCTTCCATACATGTTTGAATTTTCAATTCTGATTTTTTCTTTTTCAGACTGATCTTAAAGCTCCCACTAAGCTAGTATTAACTGTATTTCAAGCCCAGTGGAAGTGCTCATCCTCATGGTTTTTTAGGGGCAGAGGATCCGCATCCTTCAGTGACTCTTCTATAGATCACATGAGTGCCTTCTCCCTGGTGAGATTTAATGTGACGAGCGCGCTGCCTGTCTGCGCCCCACTGACAGGAAGGACTTTATAGGAGATCTGACTTGGCAGAAGCCTGGGAAGACTGTCTATTTTTTTTGTTTCACCAGAAAAGCCCTCCCCGGTAGAGTTCAGCTTCGAGCTGCCGTTGATTTTGGTCGGAAGTCAAACTCCCGCTCCCCGCGGCGTCTCCGGGAGCCCCTCTCGCTAGAGGGAAGTGGTGTCAGAGCTGATTTTTATTCCCCCCCCCGACTCTCTGTTGCCAGTCGATGAATCAGCTTTGCACTCAGCAGCAACCGCCCTGAAGTGTCTCGGAGGAGTTTTTCAATTTTTTGGAAGATTTTTCTTCAGGAATCTCTCACTGGGGGCTCTTTTATTTATTTCTTTCTTTTCTGCTCGAGTATAGATTGAAGACTGGGGTAAGCAGCCAGACCTGAGCCTCTGAAGTGTCTCATTGCTCTTGGGAAAACAGTGGGCTTTAGTGCTTTAGATCACAGAAGATTCTGCACTAAGTGAGGTGCGCTTTGTCAGGTCTTTCACCGTAACACAATTAACCTGGTAATTGTCACTGCCAGTTTTGCCTTTGCAGCATTGCATTAGAAAGCCTTGATTTACAAATTCTGCTCAAGATTTGTTTTTTATAAAAAGTTTCTATTCTCATGTAAGAAAGTATCCTGTAGGTTGTATGAAACTTGCAACAGGCATTAATATTTTTTTTTGTGGTAAATGCAGCCATTTATATGCAGCTCCTAAGTGGACTGGACACCGTCTCAGGCAGTAGTTTTAACCTTTTTTCTTAATTGTGTGAGGTTTGCCTTGAGCTATTGACTGTGACTCGCTTAAATCTGGGGGGATGAAATTGCCTTCAGCTCCCTCTCCTGGGTGGTGAAGGCGTTTGCCCCCGCCATGTTGCTGCTTTTGCAAACTTCATCTATTTCCAAACTCTTCCAAAGCATCTCTGCTCTCAGTGGAAGTGGTGAGGAGCACAGCGTACATGCGCAGGATTGGGAAATGTGATGGTTTAAAAAAAACAAACCAAAAATACCCGACAAAACCTCGACCGAGGCGAAGCCGAGCTTGCTTTCCGCGTGCTGGGAAGGAGTCGGAGCGCTGCATTTCTCGGGCTTTGCTGCTGGTGAAGGGCGGCTGCATGTTTGTACCGGCCGAGCCCGGGAGCTTGGGGTTCCTTTCCTTCCCCCGAATTTTGTGCTCCAGGGGGATGTTTTTGTTGGAGCGGTTTGTTTTCAGGCACTAGCAAGGTGTGGAAGGGAAGGCTCGGTGGAGTCCCAGTCTCTCCCCGTCCCTTCCGGGTCAGCCATCCTTACCAAGACTTCTCCGGGCAAGGTGTTAAGGGTACCTTTTCTGGGTCAGAGGTATCTTAACATCCTTTCCTGGATTTCTTCGGCAGTCACGTCGCAGGTGAAATCCCGGGGCTGCTTTAGCTTTTCCTCAGGCTTTATGAATAATGCAGCATGTGCTTTTTTTTTTCTATTTTCAGATTGAGAAAATCATGAGTTCCATCGGCGAAGGCATTGACTTTTCTCAGGAGCAGCAGAGGATCTCAGGTAGCGTACCCAGCTCGTGTGTGTCCGTCTTGGTTGTACTCTACAAAACCAAGGTGCTGGCTCCTGCGTGCAGGGCTCTTTAACTTGCTTTGGCTCCCGGAAGGGGTGGGAAGGCTCTGGCACGGGAGGAGACCTCAGCTTCCCAGCATAATGCTCAATACTGTTACCAACAATTAATTCAATACTCCCCTAGGTAGGTTCATTTGATTTTGTATGGTGCAGCTGTCCTTCCCTCGCAGCAGGCTTTTGGGTGGGTGAAGAGCTTTGCAGCTGGTACCCCCAGCCTGATGGGGGGGCACCCTGGTTACCCCAGTGTTCATTAGTACTCACCTAGTGACAGCAAAGGGATGTGTGTAGGGGCTCTTGTTTCTTGTTGAAACTGCCTGCTTATAAATGTTTGGGCTTGGTATTGTTTAGGACATGGTAAATTTTGAGGTGATGTTTTGCATCTTTGAATAGCTTTAAACAAAGGCTTATTGCTGAGAATTGAGGAGTTTTTACTGGTGGCTTCTGATACCTGAAGTGACTCCGTATAGTCCCTCCCTTTAGGTGGAGGTGAGAGTTGCTGGCTTGTGTGAGGGGTCTGGGACGCTTCTTGTGCTCTGCAGCAGTAACGTCAGCTCCGGAGTGGCTGGCGCATTGCCCCTGCTCGCACAGCCCAATAACCCCTCTGCTCTGATACGTAAAACTTCACAACTGGTCTTTGCTCAATGTGGAGGAGGAAGATCAGGTTTTCTGTGTATACAAGAAAAATCTAATTTGCAGCTGAAAGATGGTGTAAGGACTCCAGCCAGTATCCCAGGAATAGAAAGCTCTGCTGCTCTCCTGGCTCCTGCAACTACTGTTGCTCTCAACATACCCTCTGAGAAAGTCGAACAGACTGCTTGCAGTTCTCTCCTGCCTTGCAGAATGTGTTTGTTGCAAGTTTCTGTTCTTCTCTGGTGGATAGCAACAAAATTTTCTTTAAGCAGTCAGTCTCAAACAGAGCCGCCACACGTTTGTCGTCTGGCTGGTCTCACAGTCCCCACAACGGTCTCGCTTTTGTCTCAAATACGTAAAGCAGTAGCAAGATGCTCTTTTTTCTGGCTTTTTTTGTTACGTAAGTGTGGGTGTCTCACTTTGGAAATGAGCAGAACCTGTCTGTAGCCCTCCACATTCTGGTATTTTGTTCTTTAAGGCTCACAAAATCCTCTCAGCCCTGGGAGGACAGGATGGGGATTTTGTATTTAGAGTTTTACATCAGAGCAACTATAGCCAAGATACCAACTATCCATGTTACCTCCCCGGGAATTCACCCATCCCGGCTGAATCTTCACTGCTGGGCGCATCGGGACAGTTTTGCTCTGAGGAATGGTGGGCTCCGAGGTGCTGCCTGGCCACCGGTGAGGCACAGTGGGGTTCAGTGTCCGCTGGGTTGTGTGAGAAGCTGTCCCTGGGAGGCTGTTCCTGTTTCACAGGTTAAGGAGCGTTTCCTTGGGACCAGAAACGCTTGAGTGAGGGCGAACCCCTGTGCGGGGCGAAGGGTCCTGCTCAGGCCATTTGTCTTAACTGGAGCTTACCAAGGGTCAGGTTTTAGTTTGGTTGCAATAGAATAAGGTGTAAAGAGCTGCTTCCACCACCCAGCCTCTAAAACAAGAACTGTCTGGAGTTGCTGGAGTGCTGCGGCGATTTTCCAGCAAAGCTGCTGGTTTTCTGCAGCCCAGAAAATGTTTTTGCCAGAATATTTTAACTTTTTTCTCTGACTTTCCACCTGTAAAACGCTAGATGCTCTATTATTACTTCAAAAAAGATAGAACTCATCACAATTTCTTTTTTCTGTATATTTCATCTCCGTATTTCTGTGACCTTGAAGTATGTAGTTTTGTTAATTTTACAGTAAAACTTTATAAATAGCGTGAGATGATTTATTTGTGCGTTTTGTCTTTGCTTTTTCTCATTTCCATAAAACAAGGTGAAGAAGGAATCATAGTGTCATTTAGTGCATTGATTTTCCTCAGACGGAGCACCGTCCTCCTCCAGCCATGTTGGCGACTATTACAACTCTGATCTCCGCAATGCAGCAGCAGGGCAGCGGGCGACGATCCTGGGTTAAAACACTCGTAGTTAGGGAAACGTTGTGAGTAGAGGAGGCTGGGGCGTGGGGAACAGCGAACCCTGCGCCCAGTTTGTGTTCAGGGTCTGGACTGGAGCAGCAGAGAGAACCAAGTCTTGGTTAAAAATCTTCCTCCGTCGCTCCTGCAGCGAGCTCACTGCGTGCCTTGCCTCTGCACAGCAAACAGGATCGTTTTGCCATTTTCCAGCTTTTTTTCCTATACTTTTTGTGCCTTGTTTTGAGGAAAGGAGGTATGAAGGAGAGGTGGAACCAACGGAGGAAGGAGGCTTTGATATCGGTGCAGATACCCATAGCCGGGTCTCTGTAGTTTTTGCAGACCCGGGAAATACCCTGCCCCTTTCCCAGCCGACTCTCTGGACGCTTCTACATTGCTGAGCTGCTCGGGAGGTTTATTTTAATTCTTCTTTTCCCGGGATGCAGCTTCGCTCTGGGATCGAGCAGTTTAAGGAACCTGTCCTCTCTGCTGCTGTCGGCAGAGCTGTGGGTCCTGGGAGCCGAGTCTGCAGCCTTCAAAGGAGGAGAGAGCTGCTTGGCTTTAATGGTGCCTTTTGAAGCGGAGCTGTTTGTAGTGAGGCACAGAGCTTATTAAATGGATGCCGCTGAACTCTGCTGCCTGGGGACTGAAGGTGCCTAAATATCATGTACTGCTCAAGGGTTTCGGAAGAATCTACGTCTGGAAATTGTTGTCGTAGGAAATGCTTTCTGCTGGTGAGACCAGTTTGACTGTGGCAGTGCTGTCCTCTGGGACGCTTCCAGGCTGACCCGAGTGCCGCAGTCCCAGTAGCCGGGAGCAGTCCTGCCTGCTCGGGGACACGGCCTTGCCCCATGCCTCTGGGGTTTCTCTGCGGGGGGAGGATTGTCCTCCCCGGCCCCTTCCGGCAGAGCAGCAGCCGTACCAGGAGCAGGGCTGGGCTGATGGTGGTTGTGGGTCAGCACAGGTGTCGTGGTGGCCATGCTCGTTGGATGTGGTTAATCTGCCATGTGCCTCAGCTTGGGTGACCCTAGGCTTTTTGTGAGTGTTCCTGCAGGTACCGATATCCACTAAACAAGGCTGCTTGCAGGATGGGTGCTTCCCCCCTGTAGTTTAGCAGGATGGGTGCTTCCCCCCTGTACTTTAAACATGAATGGCCTTCTCTGCCTTTAAATCAAGAACAAAGACAAAGCAGAACTCGAGAGCTTGTTTGCCTTTACTGCAGCGTGATGGAGGATGCTGGAGAGCTGCCACTGCGAGGGATTCTGTCCTTTTAAATCCTTCACCTCCAAACTGCCGCATCCGAACTGCTCCGGGTGGGCAGCGTCTCCCCTTGATGAGATGCTAATGTGCATCCGCACACGCAGCTCACGCGTGCCGGAATAAAGCTTAGCTCCTATCCATTTGTCATTTGGGTTTTTGCTCTGGTGAGGAGGAATCCACCGCGCATTCCCAGTGGGAGTTTAACCTGTGCCTGCCCTGGATACTCCGTACTGATTAGGGCTGATGTTTTCCAGGGTCAGAGGCCTTTGCAGAGGGATGCGAAACGGAGTGTGGTTTGTGGTCTAATCCGATGGCAACCGTTTCGCGCCCTGCTTTGTGACAAGCCCGCCCTTCCCCGAGCCGGTCCGTAGCTGTAGCAGCGCGTGTGATGGATCAATACCGTCAGTGAAGAGGTCTAACATGGAGGGGAGAGGAGGAGCCAGCGCTTCAGCAAAAGCTGCTGGCATGCAGGGAGTTTTCAGCAAAATGGACACCCGTCTGTGGACGCAGGCGGACCCGGGAGCTGCCTTGTCCTTTAGCTGCGCGTTTTGCTGCGGGCTGTGCTGTGTTACACGTGGTTTGGGATCCCTCGCACACAGCTCAGCTGCTGTACACACTCCCTGTTTCTCACTCCTCTCCTGAAGGCCAGAGAGCGGGCAGTGCTTTGCCAGCCCCTCGCTGTGAGGAGGAAGGGTGGCTGGGGCTGCGTGCACCCTTGCATTTTGGTTTTCTAGCAGCGTTTAGCTTTTGCTCCTGAGGAGTTTGCTAGGGCTGTTTTAACACTTCAGATCATGTCCAAATGTGCAGGAACCTGCAGGGAACTTTCCAAATGCTCTCACATCCTCAGAAATGGGTGGACTCTGAGGGTATGGGGACTCCTGGCAAGTTTGGTCTGTGGAATCACTAATTAGCCAGTAAAGGTAAAGTGCCTTGCGTGGCAGTTGCTGTGGAGAGAAGTGTGCTTGCAGTCTGTGTATTCAAGCAGTTGTTGCATACAGCTGACGGGCCTAGGGAAAGCAGGGGCCCTTGGAGTCGTGCTGGAAGAAGCCCAAACCCCGAGACGCTGGGTGTCAGGTCCCTGCCATGCCCCAGACCTCCCTCAGAAATTTGGGCAAATAGCTGGTTTCTGTACCAGCAAGTTTTCCTCCATAAAACAGGGTGAGAAAACTTCCAGATCTTGCCATGGTGTTGTAGACGAGCACATCAGACTTCTGAGGGCCCTGGGTGATCAGATCGTTAGATGCATCCTGACATGGTTACAGAATTTGGAGCCAGAATCTATTTCTTGGCCAACAGGTTCGACCCTCCGATTTCCTGGTAGAGCTTGTAAGAAACTCTTCCAGCTGTATTTCCCGAGGGTGGGGTGGGGTGGGCAGGAGGAGGGGAGAAGTCTGTCACTGATCCGTGTTGGTAAGTGCGTTTTGGAGGTTGGGGAATCGAGGAACGCTGTCTCTTAAAGGATATTAGATTCCACCGAACCTTTGCCTTAAAGGGTTTTTTTTGGCCTGGAAGCAGATGTTTGCGTTCAGTCTGTGTCTCTGCCGGTGTGTTTTGCAGTCACACATTTATTTAGCTGCAGCAGCCCACTTCTGATCGTCTCTTCCTTCCAGATGTGGGGCAGAGGGGTAGGGGAGTACACGTCTGCAGCAGAAACTCAGCCCCACTGCAGCATCTCATCTCGCCGCTGGCTTTGAACAAGAAACCTGTGTGTTCCTCGCTGGGTTATGGTGGTTTTTGTCAGGCAGCGTTTCTCTCCCCAAAATTAGGGGAGATGAGCGGTCTCTGCTCAGTAAATCAGCTTGACGCAGGCAGGAGGCATGCTGCACCGGACAGGGGACGCGTTTGGGGCTTGGTGAGTGAACTCTGCAGTTGACTTGAGACGTGAGAAACGTGCTTGGTGCTTTACTTGACAAAAGAGGGAGAAATTTGTTAGCAATCTGCATTTGGCTAATTGATCTTAGTTCCAGTAAAGTCGGCTGGCTGGCTGTATTTCTTCCATCTGATAGCATTAATGACTACATTCTCCTCGCCCATCCATCTTGCCTAATGCACTGCCTGAGTTTATGGCCCCCCGCGATGGATTTAAGGACATGCTGCTGGAGACCGGCCCCAGCTGTGGCAATAACCGCCTGACTTGGTTGTCCTGCATGCTCGCTTTGTGCATGGACAGTGGTTTCAGCAACACTTGCTTGGACTTGCAATTTTTCCTTCCAGGTGAAGCTTGGTCACCTGTCTTCAGGCCACACCAGGCTGTGTTAAACTGTTACCGGTTTCCGTGAGCAGATGGGGTGATGCTTTTTGTCTGGCATGGCCCCCGTGCTGATTTCTTCCTCCAAACAGACTCAAACTTTGCACTAAAGGTCATTATTGAAACAATAACTCCTAAAAGGACCTTTCTTTACCCTGGTAGCCCTCTCCCTTTACTGTTTTCTCTTAAGCATGCCATGTTACTTGAAAAATGTCTTGCAAAAGGAACTGAACTGCTTGGCTGGCTTTTTTTGCAACTTACGAATACTTTAAATTATTTCTAACTACACTCTATTAGACTGTTTCCCCCTCTGCCATCCGCAGACATTTAAAGGCAGGATTCCTAAAATATGGAGCAGAAGGAGAAGGATGGAGCTGAGAATTAGGAGTTTGTTTCGATCAGAAGTTGTGAAGCAGGCTCTTGCTCAGGGGCACAGTGACTGGGATTCATTTGCTCCTGTGTCATCCTTGTAAAATGCAAATATTCAATGTATTTTGGACTTCCTTATTTTCAGCCTAGGATGTTCCAGAACATCTGTTCTCTTCTTTTTCTTTTTAAAATAAAGCCCTCCACTCCTCTTCCTTCAAATATTCCTCCCTTCATTTTGTCTTTGTTTGAAGTGGTTTTAAAAACGGTAAACTTGCACGTGGTGTCACTGTAGGTTTCCAATTTAAAAGCAGAAATACATTTACAAGTGTACAAAAGGCTGAGTAGAGTAAATAATTTTCTTAAAAGGGGATTCAGGTGCTCAGAGGAAGGAACCGCTGTGGTTTCATTCCCCCTGCCAATACTCCGCCTGCTTCCAGAAATGCTGTAGTAGGCAGCAAGCAGTTTCCTCATCTCTCTCGATAAATTAATTCTGAGCCAGCCACAAATCACTTCAACTGTCAAAGCAGACCTGTGACATTATTTTTTGAAAACCTAAGCTGTGTAGTCCATCACTGAGTAAATATTGAGAAGTCAGTAATTTGCACTAGAGAGTTATAAAGCTGCTGTCTCCCTCCCCTCCCCTGCAGCTTCTGCTGCGAAGGCTGCGCGCTGCTTGTACAGCGGATGGAAGAGCTGGGAGGGGTAAGAGGATGAAGAGAAGGGAGGGACAGGCAATGCGAGAGCAGGAGACAGGACTGAGAGTGGAACGGCAAGCGTGGAGCTCGCTGCCTTCAGACAAAGCACGCCGCTGCAGCGCTCGGCAAGGACGCGCGGTCGCTCGGTGAGGGGACACGGCTGCCTGGCTGCCGGCGGACCGACGCAGGGACGGACGGAGACCCCGGGCGAGCGGGAGCTTGTTACATGAATTCCAGGTTTAGATGCTGCCCTTCTGCACAGGCTGTGTTCAGGGAGGGAGACGGAAACCTTTTGTGATCCCGGCGTTTCTCGTGCTGCAGTGTGCGCTGGAAAGACTGGCCAGCTCTCTGGAACTCGCCGAGCACGGCTCGCCTGGCAGAGGAGCTCTCCTGTGGAGCAGAGCAGCAGGATCCCTTACCCCAAGAATTTCCTAACACCACTGTGAGCTCTGCGTTGTGCAGCCATTGCAGGGGGCGGGGGGTGGGGGGGAAGGATGGCTTGGAAGGTACCAACCAGCTCCAGCTGACCTGAATGTTCAAAGAAAGCAAACTTGGTTTTCCTGATCATCTTTTTATTTGCTTGTACCCTTGAAACAGATGTGCTAAGAAGCCTGAAAAATTCTGCCTGTCCTGCATAGCAAATTCCCTGGTGAAAAGGAGATTTCTGAACTTTTCTTTGTTATATTTAAAGTCTCAAGCTGTTCTAGAGGAGAGTAACAAGTCACTGGACTCTTCCCAGGGGTGAGGGAAGGGAGAGCTTGTCTACACAGCTTTTGTAGGGTGTTGGGAAGAATCTCGTTTATCGGAGGCTGAGAGGAGGTGCCAGGGCATGTCTTGGACTTGAGCTGCTGCAGAAGAGGAGGGAGTGTGCTTGCATTTGGTTTCTTTTTGTTTTGACGTGGTTTGGAAGCAAGGAACTAATGCCTCCTCCTCCAGAGCTGCTCCCTGTTTGAGTGAGGGGCTCGGCAGCAGCAGCCTGTGCTTAGCTGAAGAAAATGAAGGAAGGGCAAATACAAGCACGCAGCAAACACCTGACAGGACTGGATGTGTCGGGTGCCAACTGCACCGATTCCTCTGTCTCTCCCGCTGTCACCCAGCGCAGCGGTGTAGTCAGACTCTCCGGTGCAGCCAGCCCCGTCCCAGCAGCGTGCTGAAATGCCATGCGTCCGGATAGGTGGTAAAATGCCAGGACTCCCAGACCCGTGCTTGGGGTCTCTCACGCCTCTGCTCCTCTTAACACAATAACGGCGAGCAAAAAGCCCTTGCCATGGTTTGCCTCTTTCAGGATTGCTTGGGGAAAAAAAGTATAAGCCCTTCTTTTCTTCTGCTGCAGTTTGTGTGCTTTCTTTGTCTTGCATGTCTTCCCGTGGACAGCTGCTCTGCTCTGGCTTCTGCTGCTTTTCTGAGAGCCCGTCATGTCTGTTTTGTGTCCCGGCTGCATGAAGATGCATTTTCTCTCTAGCTGCTTTGTGCCTCTGACGCCCCTGGCCCTCGCCGCTGGCCTGCCGAGCAGGGTAGTGCACCCGAAGTTGCGTGGATGAGAGGACCCGCGCAGCTCGGTGCGCTCGTGAGCGGCTCCGCTGCGTCCCCTCGCACCTACGCCTGGCTGGGAATGCCGTGGGGGGAAGCTCGTTGCCCTCCTCCCGCCCCCTCCGGACGAGCCAAGGAGTGGATCCGCAGCCCCGTGGGGCTGGGCTTCGTGTGCTTGCCTGGCAAGAACCTCGCCTGAGCCCTGAGCGCAGTGCATGTGATGTCGTGGTCCCAGGAGCACTTCTAAACAGTTTGCCAGGGCAAGGTGTTTCCTTTTCCGAGTGTTAACTGCGACACAAACTAAACCCGGAGCCCGCGGAGGCACTGGAAGCTTGTTGTCCATGGTCTGTGCACACAGGAGGAACTGTCTGCCAGCCGATTTGTTGTACTCTGAGCATAATTTTTTGAGTTTCTTTATGGTAATGACTATGATGTGGCAATGCCATCTGTCTTCCTCAGAGTGCCGCTGCTACCGCCTTAACGGTTTTTCCCTTTTCAAGCGTCTGCCGATTCCTCTCTCGTCAGGTTCGCGGATGCTGGAGCAGAGTGTTGGGGAGTGGCTGGAGTCCATTGGCCTGCAGCAGTATGAGAGTAAGCTGCTTTTGAACGGCTTTGATGATGTCCGCTTCCTGGTAAGTCGCTGGGTGGGACCCCGGGCTCTAACAAACGTGTTGGCCGAACCTTCCTTGCGAGCGATGCCCCGTGTCAGCTGCAGAGCAGGGCTGGGTCTGCAGCCCAGCAGAACCCTCTGGGCAGTGTGTAGAGGGTCAGACAAAAGGAAGAAAGAAGGGTTGTGTTGGGTCAGGGTCGTTCATCTTCACATTTAATTCAGGTGTGACAGTTTTTTCACTATAGTTTTGATATAAAATTTTATTTACTCTGCCCACTGAATCTTTATTATCCAGTTTACTCCAGAAATGGGAGCTGAAAGTCACCAGTGTTTTGAAGAAATCACTGGGCAGTCTGTGTTCTGGAATATGAGGGAGGTGGTAGACCTGTTGTTGGAAGTATCCTTCCTCTAAGCATGCAGGCAGGATGTTAATGAGCTGTGCTTAATTGCACTGACACTGTTGGCTCTGAAACCTAATGGTGACAACCCAGTAATGCTCTGTGTTGAGGGGTCGGTTTTTTTCAGTAACCAGTGTCTAGAAACTTAAAGCTGTATGATGTGAAAATCGGAGAATTCATATGGAATGATGAAATGCAAGGAGAAAATCTTGGTGCCTTGGCAGGGTTTTTCCTGCATGGCTTAAAGAAATGCTTTTGGAGTGCAGACTCCAAGTTTCGCAAATAAAGAATTTCGAAAAATGGCTGCAGACCTTTGGAGAAGTCATTTGGGCTAATGTAATGTCCTGCCCTGGAAAGGGAGGGGGGGCATCTCTGGTCCTGTGCACGGTGTGGAGAGGTGATTTCCAGGAGGATGTGTGCCTGGCGGCTGTGTGGCGAGCTGGGTGAAGGGGCTCAGAAAACACAGCAGCCGTCCGGCAGCGGCGACGGTGCGTGGGGGGCAGCTGGAGAAAGAAGGGAAGACTGGATAGGGCATGGGTGGAGGGGCAAGGACGCGCATGTCGGAGCAGCGTTGGCGGGGGTACTTAAAGGCAGGATGTAATTATGCTTTTAAAGAATGACCTGACCAACAGGATAAATGCCCTGGTGAGTGTCGTGGGATCTCCAGGCACCACTAAAAGTTGAATAACGTGGCAGTATCCAGCCATCCCTCCTGGCCTCCATGGCAAGCAGCTTGTCCCTTTGTCTCCGCTTAGCCCAGCAGGGCCAACGCTCCCCGAGAGAGCTGGGTTTTACCGTGGTGTGGGCACCTCGCTCGCCGAGGGAGCTGGGTTTTACCGTGGTGTGGGCACCTTCAGAAGAGGAACTGCCCACGGCAGGCGATGGTCTTGCCACGCACCCTTCTGCCTCTGCCGTACCCTGTTCCTACCACTGTGTGTGGCACCTTCCCTCTTCCCAGGGGAGGATTTGGGGCGAGCTGCTCCCGCAGAAGCCCTGGGTGCCCTCGCCAGGCTCTGGTACGGCCCGCAGCCATGCAGGAGCAGGGACGGCTCCTGCAGCTCCTTCCCATGGGGCTCCGGCCACCCCAGTGTCCCACCCAGCTGGTCCCAGCCCTCCGGTGGGCCCTCAGGCACTGGGACCACCGTGCTTCAGGCAGGTGCATTCAGCTCTGTGTGAGGTTTCGGCATTCCTGCGTGCTGGGGCAGTCTGATTCAGCTGCTGGGATGCTCTGGGGATGGTGCAATGGCTTTAAATGAAATAATACCCCATAGATCCCTGCTTGGGATCCTCTGCTGACGGAGCTTTGGCCTTTGTGCTATCAGTGGGCTGCTCTCACTCCCGCAGTCAGCAGATAAAAGCACTTGTACTCTGACTGGCCCTGCCTGACAAGCGTGATGATAGAGCTCTCTCAGCACAGAAGTTTAATAACGAAGGAAATTAACTTTCCACTTATCCCCAGAGAGGCAGGAGCTGGAGGCTCGGAAGCAGGAATTTTTATTGATTGTGCTTATTTGCAGTAAATAGCAACACTTAGTTGCAAACTGTCTGATGCAGAATTTTGTCCTAAGATGAAAGAGAAGGCTCCTTGTGTACATGTGACTGTGACTTTGTGGTGTATGTGGGAGCAGTTGCTTTTCAATGTTGTTCACAGCTGGGTGTTTTTCTTCGCCATCCAATGCTGGGTAACCGCTCCCAGTGTAGGAAATCAGCTGGGGAAGTGGGACGCTCTCCCCGCTCATTCCTCTCAATTTTAAAAGGTCAAATAATTTAACAAAGATTTCCTGTAAACCCTGGCTGATTTCCATTTTGCTGCTTATCCCCTTTGCTAGGAAGCTGACTCTGGCACCCGTGTCACGACTGGCTTTAAATCCTTTCGCCCAAGTTCCGGGAGCTTCAAGCTAATACAGTCAGCCCAGCAGGAGAGTTGAATTATTAAGAACCTTTTCCTCTGTGGTGTTACTTGCCTTCAGCTTCTGATGTCGGAGTTAAAGCTCCAGATACAGTACAAATGAGGAACAAGTGGTTAATATGGTTTTAGCAGCGATTTTGATGTTCTCAGATGAATTATTAAAGTTGTTGTAAACACTGAAGCTGACTAATGCGAGTACTGAAAGGACCTGGGTGCTTGGCTCCTGGCGTCGCAGGCTGCCCATTCCTTTTCTTTTTTACATAGCAATATCTTTATTAACCGCCACTTTCAATTGCTAATGAAGAATATTTCAAACTAAGTGGCGTTATTTTCCTGGAGTTAAATGGTTTCTGTGAAAGGATTAGCCCCTGTTAGGGCCTCACTGTGTTAAAGATTTCAAGGTCCAAAGTATACTGGGTAACGGTTTGCAAATTGCCGGATGGGCTATGGGGCTAATTAAGTTTTAGCAGCAAAAATTAAAAAGTTGGAGTCTTCTGATACGGAAACACTCTTGTTTTCTGTGTAAGGCGTTGCACTGTGTTACTCCCTGTGTACAGTGCTGCGGGGTTTTTTCAGCGCGCCGAGGCTGCTCCCTTCACTGCCGGAGTCCCCGGGTGCCCGTTTGTGAGCAAACGAGCAGCTGCTGCCTTGGGCGGACGAGAAGAGCATGGCAAGAGCAAAGTGTTAGATGTGCAGTGACAGTACAGCCGTGAAGCAGAGGCAGCGTCCTGGGAGAAGAGCTCTTTAATACACCCAGGAAGGGTGCTCAGCCTGCAGCTGGTAGCTTAAAGTAGGGTGAAGAGAAGAGGCTGACAAAGAGCGTGTCCTGTGACTGCGGTGGGGACTGGGTGAAATCCTGTGTTTGATGGCACAGTGGCATTTGGTGCTGCTCTTCACTTAGGAAAAATAGATGTTTAAAATGTACCAAGTAGGTAGTACAGAGCTGGCCAGAGACAGAAAGCGGAGGGTGCAGCAGCTTGCCTGGTGCTTGTTCAGTGCGTTTGGAGCCCTTGGTTTCGCCAGTTCCGCTGTCAGGAATTCCTGATTTGCTGTCTGTTTGCAGTTGGCTCTTGTGTGAGTTTGCACCCGGTATTACCGCAGCCCGTACCCCCCAGATAAGGGAAATGATTCATGAACGCACAGCGTGGTAAAGTGATTGTGAAAAGTGCTCTGTAAATATATTGGGCTCCTTAATTAGGCGTTAATCTAGGAAGGCAGAAACATGCGTTGTTTCCAAGAGCAATAATCCTGTTATTTGCAGAAATCCGGCGAGTCGTTCCCAGGTGATGAGCTGTGCTCTCCGGACAGGTGACCGGCCGTCCCGGCGGTGACTGCTCGGTGCGAGCTGCGTCTCTGGCAGGGTCTGCTCCCGCACCCCGACGGGCAGCGCTGGCGGCCGACACAGGCTTTGGAGACCTGCAGTGTTCACAGGATGTAAATGTGAGCTGTGGACGCTTTACAGAGTCTCCTCTGAAAAGGGAAGGTAGAAGTGTATTTCAGCAGATAGCTGGTGTGGGTGTGGGTGTCGAGCTGAGGCTTCTCTGCTCTTGGGAATTCCAGCTGGGACAAAGTTGTAGTCACTTGATGACTTAGTAGCTGGGACAAAGTTGTAGTCACTTCGTGACTTAGTAGCTGGGACAAAGTTGTAGTCACTTGTAGCTGGAGGCCTCGTGCTCAAGCAGGACCCCTTGTCCTCGGGCTTGCGAGATCAGCACTTCAGTTGTCACCAAACTGACAAGCTCTGTTGCGTTTCAGGTCTGCTTTGGCGAGAGGGTGATGACTGCAGTCAGGACTGACCCTCCTCGTGTGTGTGCGCGCCTCTACCAGGGCTGTTTCCCTTTTAGGGGAATTGAGGACAAAGAACAGTATTATTTGTAGTACCAGTTGGTTCTGAGCGGTGTCAGACGAGGCTTGTTGGGAATATTCTCACTTTTGGAACTTGCAGCGATTTTTGAGGGCTGGTGAATTGGTTATTGGGGAAGGAAAGTCGACACAACCACGGTAAGAAGGGAATCGCAAGTGTTAACTCAGAAGTGCGATGACTGTCACCCTGCCTGGACGCAGCTACTGGATGTTGTGGGAACTGGAGCTGGGCTGGGAGGCTGCGGACAGGCTGGGTTTGCAGTGGTGGCCTCACTGCTGCGTCGCTTTGTTCCAGCACTGAAAGCAGAGTCTCTTGATCAGTGTTTCTGTAATGTAAAATTCTTGTTAAATGTGCAGAAGAAAACAAAATGCTGCAGCGTTGGATACGGCGTGCGAGAGCGTCTCGGGGACGCTGACTGGTGGCACAGTCAGATGCAGAACCAGGAACGTTTGTGACTAGTTCAAAGGATCTGGATCAAGCATTGGCTTCAGTCAGGGGTGGCTATTGCTGACACCAGTCAGCAGGATTATTTAAACATCAGTTTGACGTGATGCTAAAGCTTCCTTGCCAATGTGTTTCTGGGAAGGGACTGAAGTCTATGTTGATTTGGATTGTGTGTAATCTTTTGGCTTGGTTGAGGGAAGAGAACGGCTATAAAAGATGGATTTTAGGTACCTTAGTTTTCTAGAAGACTGAGTTCTCTTTCCAAATACCAACATCTGCATATTGGGCCACATTTCTGTGTCTGGAGAAATTCTTATATTCCCTATAAGTTGCCGACAACAGCTTTGTTGTGGTCTTCATGTGCAGTGCTGGGAAGGAGGCTTTCCCTGATTTCCTTGCTGGAACCC